TCAGGAAAGCAGGGGAATAAAAACACACCATTTGATTAAAATGGAGGAAAAGTCCGGTGAGTCTGAGGTGCTAACCATGTCTGCCTCAGACAGGGGAAATCAGGGTGAGCAGGCAGACCAGGACACTTCATGAAGGGAGAGGGGAAGCTGAGAATGTAAGGGAGTAGGATTGGGAAAGCACTGCACTTGGATGGAGCGAAGGAATGCATGGAAAGGGCAGGAGGCAGGGAGGGAGGGAAATGAGAAGCGTCCATATTTCAATGTCAGGGATTCTACAGGATTGCAAGCTCTTCGACGCTGCTGCAGGTGGTCTTGTCCTTGCAGGGGATATTGGGTACTTAAGAAATCACACAGGGGCATAAGAAACAACCCTAGTAATTGGGTGAAGAGGTGCATAGGGCCTTGGTTTCAATCAGTTTCAGAGAGATTTGGCTGAAGTGACCCAAGGACTGAAAAAGAATGTTCCAGTCCCAAGACCAGGAGCAGGCATGTCAGACAGAGCAGGCTCACCATGGGCCTTGCAAGTGTGTAGGCCTTGAGCCCTTGGGGATGGGATCTGGACCACTTTGGACACCCATCCAATGCTTAAGGGAATGAGAAAGCTTCTAGAAGGCTGCTTGGCAAACTAAATCTGAACTCTTAATTTTTTCTACTAAATTATATATGAATGTTTGGTACTGTGGGATATAGAACACCTTCGGTGCTTTATTCTTTCCTTTAAAAAATGTATATGAGTATTTTGTCTGCAGTGTTCAGCATATTTGTACGCATTGCTTGTGTATGCAGTGTCTATAGAGGCCACAAGAAAGCACCAGATTCCCGTGCAACTAGAATTACAGACAGTTCCGTGCTGACGTATGGGTGCGGTGAACACAACCCAGGTTCTATATAAGAGTAGTCAGTGCTTTTAAACTGCTGAGCCATCTCTCCAGGTTCAGCATCTTCAGTGTTATGAATAATTAATCAATATTTTAATTTTGTAATTGTCCATGCTGAACATGCTGCATTATATAAATTTGTATTTCAAGAAGGCAGAAAAATCTATAGGTTTATAGATTTTTGGAAATATTTTTAGACTCTTGTTTAAATATAATTTAATGTCTTGTTAATAATTATTTTTGTAACTCAATTGCACAGATATCAAATATGAACTTTATAGATAAAAATGCTTTGTCACAATGTCAAAAATGTTGATCATGTTTGACAGCTATTTAAGGACTAGTGTTGGCATCAGTAAATCTGATTAATGATGTGTAACTTGAATGGTGAATATTAGAAATATCTAAGTCATACAGATCTATAAGCACTGATCCATGATACTATCATAGCAATTTATTCCTTGAATCCATTCCTAAACTTGTGATACACTTAGTTGAAGATGAAATAAATTCATACTTCTGGAAAAATAAACATAATTTAATATCATGTGCAAACAACATTTTAAAACCTCTTAATAAATCATGCGATTTAAATGTCTACACAAGTAGTTTAATTAATCATATCAATAGTTCATAGTTCTTCAAAAACTACAGCTCTAGATTGTTTTTGTTTCAATTAAGACTTCTCTTTAAAATCATTTTTTTAAATTTCACACATGAATATGTTGTATGTTGCTTTTTAACTTTTTAATTAGCATATAATTACACATAACAATGGATTTCATCATGACAACTTCATACATAAAAATGTATTTTGATCACGTGCACTACGCAATTACCATTTCTTCTTTTCTCATTGATCCACTTCTCTTCCCAACTACTCCCCGTCTACACTAATGCACTGTGTCGTACGACTCACTGGATTTAATCAGGGTTACTTATTTTTGCGTGGTTGACGGATTATCTGTGGGTACATAGACAATTTGACATTGACTTTATCACTCAGGAAAAATGCTTTCTCCTCTATAGGCTTAAACTAAGGAGAGGATGAGGCCTCATGAGCCCTCCACCCTTCCATCTGGAAACACATTCCCGTTCTATCCTAACTCCAGGTCAAAATTTATGTAGTGATTCTTTTTAAAATAAAAATCAACTCAGTGTCACATACAGTGATGGCTCTGATGGGCACGTACTGGTCAGGTCATATTCTTGAAATCATTAATTCGGTTTATAGACCTGGTTCTCCTGGGGTTCCCAATGCAAATGCAAAAGGAATTGGTAATCCAGGCTATACTCCTGGCACACCTTACAAGGTGTCTGTTCCCCTATCAGAGGGGCTGTTCCACCATACTCCTCCTTCCTCAGTCTCTACCAAATGGCTATGTACCCCCTGAGAAGTGCCAACCCCCAGCAGAGTCCTTATGCCCAACAAGGAGCATAGTATACCCAACCACTGCACGAAGTATCCCTCATGTCACTCACCACACCATAGGTACCCAGTGGCATGCCAGCAGCATTTAATCTACTCCCAGCCCTCCTCCTAGATACAATAGGGTCACCATGGGCATGGTTGCTGCAACCACAGTGGCCTTGACAGCAAACTGCTCATTCTACAACTCCTATTGCCCCTCACCTAGTCACTGTCCTCACATACCAGGACCCAGAAGCACTCACCTACAACTATGTGCCCCTGGTGCTACAGGCCTTGTACCTCCAACTAGAACTTTCTTCTCAATGCTTGGAGCTGAACACAACTGTGTCCCAGCCCAGCAGGTCCTAGCCCAGTAGTCTCCAACTAACCCCACAGGTTGGTTTTAAAACAAATCCTGTTTTGTGGACTGTCTGACATTTGTTTAGCTAACTGTAATTGTTAAAAGGAAATATTAATGTATTCTGAATCATATCTAGTCAAATGCATCTTTATAAAAAACAAACTTTTCTCAATCTACCTGCAAGGACTGACGCAAAACACAGTGTTCTACAACCTGTGTCACTCGGGCACTACTGTAATGCATGCTGAGTGTCAAAGTTACTAGTGTGCAAGGGAATGTCCTCCTGCAGCATTTGGAGCACTGGAGAGACTCTTGAGAGGATGAGGGTTGCTGCTCAGGCATGTGGACTTGTGTTTTTAGTAACCTGTTTCTTTGACACTGGCTACACCTAGTGGGAGCTTCAGGGACTGAGAGAGAGTGTGAGCCTGCAATGGGTCTAGAGCCGCAGCAGGTATAGTGGAGCCCCTTTCCTCCATTTCAGCTTGGGTATGGGCTGGGGGCAGGCTCTACACAGGACTTATCAGCTTGGATGAAGGGAGCCCCATGTGTCAGCAGAGTGGTGTCTCTGTCGTTTGAGTGCCCACTACATGTGTTACAGGTTGTTTTGTGTATCTGTTCAGATAGCTGGGGAAGTCCAGGGTAGAACTAACATGTCTTCCTAGGAGGGAGGATGTCAAAGAGATGCAGCCACCCTGAAGCAGTGTTGTCTTCTGCTTTATTTAACTTGGAGAATCGTGCCCCGTCCCTGAGAAATACAGAGACAACTGGAAACACAGGCCTATGAGCGTCTTCTGCCACCTTTTCCTGTAGTTGAAGGCACTCAGCGCCAAGTGGATGTGGAGAGGGGAAATGGCCACACAACCCTGGAATGAACTTGCCGGTCAGGATCTGTCGTGGGAAAGATTTTGAGTGTGCAACCTGAGCATGAATGTAAGACATCAAGAGGTTCTTTTTGCTTGGATAGGCCCAATTTTAACCTTTGAGAGTGTTTCTGGTCAAAAGTGCAGGGTATGATGGCACTCTGGGCTCCGCCAATGGGGATACTGGCTGTTTTAGTCAACCCAATTTAAGTGAGGAGGCGTGGTTTGGAAGGGGATTCTGACCTTGTCTCTGGCAGTTGGATCAGGACATCCACATCGGTGTGGATGTCACCTCATTAACAGTCAGCTAGACTAGAGGGTGGACCACCTGAATATTGAGCCTTTGGGAAACGTTATTTTTATAGTAAAACTTTCCATGAGTCTTTTATTATTTAGAAAATTTATATAGATTTCTGCATGGATCAGTGTAAATAATAAAAGATTCCTTGTTCCTAATGTCCATGAACACAGAATATTTACTAATGAGTATGTTGAATTGCCTCATGAGTACGAAATTCCATGTGTGTGGCACGGGAGAGAAAGAGGAGAAAGGGGAGAGAGAAGACGGGGCCGAGAGAGGAAGAAAACACACAGTACAGAGACAGAAACATTTGTGTAATCACAAACTTGTATCTGTTCCTGTACTTCGTGTTGGCATGCCCATCCTTGTGAGGGAAGTTTTGCAGTGTTGATGGTACCGATGTTTTTCTAGAGTCAAGCAGATAGAAGTTAGTTTTCCCAGGTGAATAATCACAGACGAAGGGAAGGAATGTACCCATGATTTTAGCATATGTTTGAAAAAGCCCCGCCCCCTGCCCCTCACACACATAGAAACATACCCATATCCCTGACTGTAAAGGGTAGAGTTATTTGCCAGTAGCGGGCATGTCTTTGGGCCTGCTTACAGCTGCACCCAGGGTGTTTCCACAGGCCCCAAGTTCTCAGGAGAAATAGTATTGAGATCGCAGCCCCTCCGGCTGATGACATCAGCTTCACACACTTGCCCTGTAACTTTTTAATACTCCTTTTCTCTTTGAAGTTGGATTGAGTAACTGTCAAACCTTCTGTGTTGTACAACTCAGATGTGTGGAATTCTTTTCTGGTTCGAAACTATCAGAGCATCGGCTATGAAATCAGCTGGTGAAAGATCTTAGCTATCAGATGACACGCTGGGCAAACAGATAGTAACAAACTGTCACAGGTGGGGAGTTCAGGAACATCCAGTTTCAGGAAAATGAAGAAACAGAACTTGGGTCAGTATTCCATTACATTGCTGCACAGGTATCCCTAAAATACTGAGGAACATTCTAAGAAAGTGTGCTTTTCACATATGTGACATTCCAGACTAGGGTCCTTTAGCTGAATTCTTTTAGAAGGAACGGCAGGAAACAGGCTTGATATGTGAACATGGACATCATTGTTAAGGGCACACATTTTTGCAAGTTTATTCTTGTAATGACAGTTATTGACAATCATGCTGACTAAGCCAATTAAAGGTTTTCAGTCCTTTTTATTGATGGCCAGACCAAAAATGGGCTTGAGCCTCTGAAAAGTCTCTTGGTGCCCAAGCTCATGGATATAGAGTTTTAAAAGGCAAAACCAACAAAGACCACAATTTACATCAATGATGGGGTTAGAGCATAGTAGTAATTTTGATCATAACTTGTCAATTTTGGATAATAAGGCCATGAAAATCTCAAATGTGTTATCAAGGCAGACGTGAACATTGGGGAAAGAAAGTGGAGGGCTAAAAACTATCTAAGCAGTCACAAAACGGAGTCAGAACAGGATGGTGTTCATTAACTTAGTCACTTCAATTCTTTGCTGCCTTCGCTGAGACTGGGGGGATTTCTTCCTGTGCTGCTGCAGTTTGCAGTTCTGTGGAGTCTTAGTTGTTGAGTGTTGAGCAATGTGTGAGCTCCCTGACTCTTGAGAAATAAGGTCACCATCAGGATTGGGCCAGTTAGGATACAGGCATGAAAGTACTTCCAGAATCTTTGTCTCGTGGTCTGCCTTTGAAGAACATTGATTGCGTTGAGTGGCTATTGGCATATCAGTTGCTATTCAGGTACTGTCTTCTTGAGTGTTCTGCCAAGACGGTATTTCTAGCAGGTGCGAGGGTCCCTGGTTCCAGATTGGGTTCCTGGCTACTGAGTGTGCTACTTTTCCTTGGCCATGCACTGGGTGCCCTGCTGTATCTGGTTATGTTATACTGCTCTGACAGGAGGCTGAAGGAGCAGATAGCATGTTTCTTGGGGGACATATTACAGTTAGAGGAAACTCATTCCTAGGGAGATTTGAGCTGCCTTGTGAGTGTGCCTATGGTCAGGAGAGGCTTGTTAGCATCAGATATAACACTGGGGCTCTCCTCAGCTCTCCTTACTGAATATTGGAGTATATGATTGTGGGGCTACATTCACTCATGCAACTGACATCTGTATTCATGGTATACCTGGTACTACTGATGGCACAGAAGTTTCCAGGGTGCAGTAACAGTTGTGGCAGCTACTGGTTCTGCCCTCTGGTGCTTTCTGAGGGTTGCTGAGGTTAGGAGTGCTGCTGGCTGATGGGTGGAACACAGAGCTTACTCTCCCAAGCCAACATATTTCCTCTGAGTTGTTTACTCTTGCCCAATTTTCTGCAATTCATGCAGTGCCAACAAAAGGGGATGATGTAGTCTCAGTAGGAACAGCAAAAATGAGTCCCCATGTCTTAGAGAATTCTTCTCTTCCATATTCCTTGTTCTCTTGAAGGACAGAAACCCTGTGGAATAAATCTTATTAAAATAAAGGTGAGAGACAGGAACAGCTTTCCTGTCCAGGGACTGAAGTAGTTCTATTGAACAAGGTAGGGGCCTGGTTGGTATAGCAGGCAGCTCCCAGAGTAGGCCAGTTGGTGTATCTAGTACAGACTGTGGGCAGTAGAATAGACCAGATAGGCTAAATTAGGAACTGATTCCTAGCATAGTTATTGTACCAGCTGGATGCTCCAAGAAGTCTGACAGATTTCACTGAACAGAAAACATTCTCCTTTTAAAATTTTTATTATTAACACTCTTTTAAAACATGGTTTTCTTGGCACTTTTTTAAAAGCTTAAGTCAGCATTGTCTATCAGTGTTAAATTCATTCCTTGTTTCTTCTTTGAGCTTTCTAGGCATTGAAATGCAATGTGCAGAGTAACCATCCTGAGCCAGTTCAATTGGGTGTAAGTTCATAGTTTAAATATTTATGGACTCTGATAAATATATGAGCTCAGATTTAAGATCATTGAGAGCACATTGATTGTAAAAGGACCTGTTATGTATTAATACTTCAGTTTTCAATGAAGATTGATTTGTGTGACAAAAAAGAAAAAAAAGAATATCAAGTCAGCATCTCAGACAGATTCTTTTGAAAGATTTACTGTGTGTGTGTGTGTGTGTGTGTGTGTGTGTGTGCACGCACGCTCACATATGTACATATACTCTTAGAGGCCAGAAGAGGACATCAGATCCCATATAACTAGAATGGCAGGTGGATGTTGTGGCCTTTCTGAGTGCTGGGAACAAAACTCAGGTCCTCTGCAAGAGAGGGAAATGCTCTTAACAGCTGAGTCATCCCTGTAGTCCCTCAAACAGAATATTTTAAAATCAAACTTTCTAGCATAGCACAATCTCACTGTATACTAGTTTGATAATTAACATGCTACGGAATACCAGACCATTTAGGATCCTTGGCTTTTGAAGTGATTTCAGCTTCATTGTCATTTTCCCCAGAAGAGAAGTGGCTTAAAACCAGCATCTGAGGTAGAGTTTGAACACTGGAAGCTTTGACCTGAATTGTTTTGATAACCCTGATTTGTATGGCGACACAATTCTCAAGAACATGAGTGAAGTTCAGTTGGTTGTGAATGTAAAATGACCAATAAGTTTCATACGAAGATTTTGGTTTGGACTGAGATTATCAAATGGAATGCCTATCACTTCTGACACATTCTGACATAGGCTCACTGGGCCTGATCCTGATCTGAATATTGAGATGAAAAGTATTTGGTGACATTTAGTTTCATAGAGCTGAAGTAAGAGGGCAGTGACACTATCTACTCACCTCTTTGACCTTTAATATAAATCTCATAGTGATCCCCATTTCATAGACAAGGACATTGAGGGTCAGACACATCCAGCCACCATTCAGGCCTTAGGCCCAGTGCTACCACCTGCTACGTCCTCCAACACACACACACTGCTCGTCCTCTCCTTGCCTCAGAGCACCCTGCCCTTCCTAGTTCCTTTTTCTCTTACTCTTGATTTTATCTCTTTCCTCCTCTCTTCCTTGACTTTGATTAGAGTCCAAGGAAACCCTAGCAGTGAAATGGGAAAGTGGCTGTGTCCTCTTTGGAAACTCATATGCTGCAAAAGTCAAGGACCCTTCCCTGCTCGGCATCACCATGAAGGCTGGAGATTCCTGCTTTAGCAGCCTGCCGGCTCTGGGATCTACCCCTTTATCTACAATGCACCAAGCTGTAAGCAATCAAGGAATCGATTTTTAAAAGTTCACATGGATTTTTAAAAACATGTCTTACACAACCTCAGGAAAATAAGGGGTGTCTGATATGTCCACCCTCAGGAGAGGAGTCTCTACCATGATTCCTCCTGGCATGTCCTTTAGAAAGAGTCTGCTGGAACTTGCTGGGGTCAGGGACTGAGGAGGCTGTCATGAGCCTTTGTAGTATCCATGGGGTCTCTGACTAATAAACAGAATGTTCACAGATGATTTCCAAATTGGAGGTTTGGGGCAAGCTTGCCCTCATGAGCCTCTGCCTGTTCCATGTTTTGACCTTGTGTCCCCATGGCAGTCCTGTGTTTACATGCTGTTCATGTGCCCTGACACTTGTTCATTTTGCTATGCATTCAGGTCTCTCTTGTCTAGCCCAAACTATTCACCATCAGCTTGGTCTCATGTTCATCTTCAAACTGTTAAATATCTAACTGTGCTAACTCCAAGTAAGCTTTCAAATGTCACAGATCCTACTGTGTTACAAAAATTTCACTGTATGGCTGTCAGAGAACTCTGTTTCTCTCACTATGGTATTCACCTCCCTAAAATGAGAGAATTCTATTATGTCATTTTGTTGTGCCCAAGTCTCGAAGACCCCAAGAGACTACCAAGGGACAGACTTACCAAACTGCAAATGCAAGGCTCTATTGTTTAATCCTACTGGTAGGAACTCCATCTAGCAGGCTGATGCAGCAGCCTCCAGAGGGAGTGAAGTCCCTTGTCTATTGGCAGAATTTTAAAGGAAAAAAATCACAGAGTTACCTCAGTAGGTATGGGTCTGATCCTGATTGGTTGATATTAGGGGAACAATTAGGGGAATTTCCCAGAGTCAGGGCAACTGGTTTGTTAGTAATTTTGATTGGTTGGCTACAGACGGGAGCATTGGTGGTTTCTAAGGTTTTGTCTGTTACTTGCAGGTAGCCTGTTCTCACTGGTTGGTGCTGAAAGGGAACATTCTATGGTTTCTATATCTCTTGTTATCAAACATAGTATCCAAGTACTTACTAAGTCTAAGAGGAAGGTTGTCTTGGTTCACAACAAAAGAACTAGAGCTAGGGGACTGGATTCGTTCTGAAGGCTTTTCCATAACCTTTACATTTGTATAGTTTCTGTCTAGTATGAATAAGAGTTGAATGGGAACTTAAGGCTTTGCCACATTTATACAATTGCTCCCCAGTATGACTTATTAGAAGTGAAGCCTTTGAGTTTAGTTTACCTCTTTTAATTAGTGAGTCTATGGATATGTGGTGGGTGCCCAGCTATCTAGGCACCCATGTGGAGGTCTGCAGACGACCTTGGGTGCCTTCCATCTTGTTTGAGACAGGGTCTGTTGGATTCCCTGCTATATAAGCAAGGCGGGCTAGTTCCTGAGTTTCCACAGATTCTTCTGCCTCTCCCTCACATCTCCCAGTAGGGATGAGCTGGCATCTCAGAGCCTGTGTTTGACTTTTTAAATTGTCTTAATTGAGAATTTCATGTATGAGTACTGTATTTACATCATTTCTATCCCTTCCCATCCTCCTCCCACTTTTCCTGTGTCTGCTCCTCCAATTCCTCTTGAGTGTGTGACCTCTTCTTTATTCGTACATAAGTAGGATCTAGGGAGTCCATTTAATGTTGCTCCCATGTCCATGTGCTTAGGGTTGACTACTTGAGGCTGTCCACACTCAGGAGAGGAGTGTCTACCCTTTCTCCTGACAAGATTCCTTAGGAGGAATCTGATGGGATCAGGGGCCAGGGATCAGAGGTCAGGGGTCGGGGATCGAGAGTCTGAGAGTTGTGAGTTATTAATATCTTTGGTATTCATGAGGCTTCTCACCAGGAAACTGAATATTCAAAGATTATTTGTGAATGTTGAATGGAGGTTTTGAGTAGGCATGCCCTCGTGAGCTCTGCCTGTATGCTACCCCGTAGTCCTGTGATTTTGTACTGTTTGTGTTTCCTAAGCGTTATCCTTTTTCCAGGCATGCAGGTGTATCCTGTCTAGCCAAAATCATTCACAGTCAGATAGGCTCCCGTGTTTATTTTCTCCCACAAGTCTTAAAAATTATTTGAAGTCCTCCTTCATTGCATGGAATCACAGTAAGGGTTTTGCATATTAAAGTTTTGGAGAGACTTGGCAACTTGATAGGAGACAAGTCCTTTATTTCTCTGAATATTGGTGTTCATCTCTCTGAGAGAGGAGAGTTGCATGGGAATTCTGACCTGCCTGAAATTCTGAAGCACTGTAATGTGCATGCAAGGTTATCTGTGTCAAGGCTACAGGGAGCCCCCACTGCAGGACAAAAGCATTACACTTAGTATTTGAGAGATGATTAAGAATGGTGTCCCATCCAGCACACTAGAAACACTATTAGTGTGGTACTCTACCCACCTTTCTTTTGCAATGCTAAATGGTAGAACTCAGGCCCTCACTTGTGTTGAGGATACTGTGATTCACCACTTGACTATGTCCCCCAAGTGGGGAACTGAAAATTATGTAGTCCAAAGTTGTCTATTTTGTACATTCTTGAACTTGTGTATGGAGTGATTTTTATGAAAAGATTTTATTCAACAAGTGAGCTATTATTCTCTCAATTCAAAGTGCTTGATATTCAAGGAGATCTGGACCACATGTGGCATAAGCAGTTTTGGTTGTGACTACCACTAGGTAGGACATTACAAGTGAACTCCGTCAAACATCCTTAGATAACATCACTAAACTGGGTTGTTTATTTGCAGTTGTCTCGTGTTTCCAAGACTACTCTGAAATTAAACTATGTGATTCTTTTTAGATTAAATTTCATAATTTTCTTAATTTAGGATTTTTCAATTCCAACTTGCTACTTAATAATAAATAAAAACATCTTCAAGAGAGTATTTTTTAATTAACATGTTTGACCTTTGTCCATGTGGTCACAAGGGGATTTTGGGATTCATCAGGAAGAAAGCTCCCAGCCCTTTAGAGTTCAGACAGAAATACTGAGTAAATAGGTCCTTACATTGTGATGTCAACATGAATTCCAGCCTGTAGAAATCTTAGGCTGTGAATTTGGAGAGTGTGCTTTATGAGAAGGCTTTCCAATTTCCGCACAAAGTTCCTACGCTCAATGTAAGTTTCTACCCTTCTCTCAATTTGCAACCAAGTGCCATCCCTTCCTCGGGGTCCTCCCTATTCAGGAAATTCCACAGTCTCTGTGCTGGCTCCATGTGCCAATGTACTCTAAAAGCACAGTTCTGCCTGTTCACCACGCCTCACATCCTCAACTTTCTTTTCTCCTAGCTCCTCCGCTGGCATCAAGGCACCCGGTGTTCCTGAAAGCCACGTTTGCCTTCTGTGCAGCTGAGGACATGATGCATGCATAGCTCATCCTTAGCTTGCCCCTTACCTACCACTCACATCTGTAAGCAAAGCACCAGTAGGTACCAAGGAGAGAAAGCATGTGTGAGTCCAATGTGTGAATGTAGGTCACCACGGGTGACCTGGAGAATTCGAGCTGATTTCAGCCTCTGCTCAAGGAGTACCTAGCATTAAGGCACCTACTGTTTGAGGAAGCCAGGCTTGTCTTCTGTGCAGCAACAGACATGATGCACATATACTTGTGGGGAAGGACCTTCAGGTGACCTAGACAGTTGGGGTTGCGAGGGGCCACCTGAGTCCTGTAGGCAACCTAGATCCCAATGGCAGTGACATGAACGAAGTATGACTTGGGAACAAGCAGGAGTCTAGTAGGTGCAGTTTGTAAAAACAGTAAACTTAGCTGTGGCAGGGCCCTCAAGGCTCACACAGGAGCTAAAAGCACAGTGAGTTGACTAGTCGCATATCCATGAACTGTACATGTCCCAGGGAGGACTTTGTGTGACACTAGGTGAGGCTTGTTGCTTCTATGCTAATAAATCATGGCTTGTCAATGCTATTTTTCAAAGGTTAGACATAATTTAGATAAGAGACAACATCATCTAATGACTTCTGGCACCACAAACTGCTTCATTAGCATTCACAACCCTCCTCACTGTCCTAGCTGACCCTTTACTCCTCTTTTGTTGTCACAGGACTCTCTTGCATAGTAAATTGCCTCTTAAAATTCATCAAAGATGCCTCAGTTAAGTGAATGATTCTAAGGATCCAATATTTACCCCTTAGCTGTGATCAAGGGTTTCAAAGCAATGAAAAGAAACGGGGGAATGAAGTGACTAAGCTAATACCATCTTGTCCTGACTCCATTTTGTGTCTGGCTAGACACTACTCTGCTTCCACCCCTCAATAGCCATATCTGCTTTGGAAACACTTTGGGGCTGTCCATGACCATGCTTCAGACATACTACCAAAATAACTAATGAACATCCAAGGTAAAACATAAAATTAAAATAACTAGATGAAGTGTAAATCAAAAATAATTGTGTTATTCTGGAAAAGGCTAAGCTCTGAAAAAAGACATATGTTACAAGGTTACTGCATCCCCCCCAACACTGATGTAATTGTTACTTTTGTATTTGGAAATGCTATACTCCGGAGCTTTGGAATCAAGAGACATTTTGGAGGCATTAACTTAACTCTTCACTTGACCACTATTAAAGGACTCTTATACTCTTAATTGGCTTAATTACTGTGATTGTCAGTAACTATCTTGTGTGGATCATTTCGAAAGGTTTATTGATTGAATCATATGTAGTAAATAAAACCATAAAACAAATAAAATCATATGCAGTAAATAAATATAAGGTGAGATGGCACACCTTATATCCCAGCACTTAAGAGGCACAGGCAGGTGGAATTCTGTGAGTTTGAGAACAACCCCATGTAGCCTACGAACTGAGTTCTAGGACAGCTAGAGCTACCCAGTAAGGCTTTATCTCCAAAAATGAAAAAACAACAAAACCACTTAATTTCTATGCTGTTATCACAAGAAAACATTGTTGCTTTATTACACAGTGCCAGAGCATGATAATTCTTCTCCCTTTCCTTGGAGAATTATGAATGTTTTGTGTGTGAGTGTGTGTGGTGGTGGTGGTGGTGGTGGTAGTGGTGGTGTCTGTGGTTAGTGGTGTCTGTGGAAAGTGGTGGTATGTGTGTACTGGTGATGATGTGTGTGTACGGAGGTGGTGGTGGTTGTTGTGATGCTTGTGTGTAGTGGTGTAGTGGTGTGTGTGTGGTGGTGGTGTAGTGGTGTGTGTGTGTAGTGGTGTAGTGGTGTGTGTGTGTGTGTGTGGTGTAGTGGTGTAGTGGTGTGTGTGTGTGTAGTGGTGGTGGTGGTGTCTGTGTGTAGTGGTGCACAGTTAATTCCAGGAAAGGTGAAAGTACACAGAGAAACCCTGTCACAAAAAATGAAAAAAAATAAATATAAAAGAAGTAGAGTAATAATAAAAACCACATAAACTTGGAAAATACACAGTCTGGATGCTGTATGTTATTTTGTTGCCTTTGAATTGTTTGATTGCTGAGAAAGGAGTAACAACTGCTAAAAGACATTTGATTATAAATGCTGCTGGATTAATCCAAAATGTATATTTTCAAAATGCTTTGACTTCAAAATCTAAGTATAAGGACATCCCCCCATCATAGTGGTGCTGCTACTGGTGGTGATGCTAGTGGTGGTGTGTGGTGTGTTAGTAGTGGTAGTGGTGTTTTCATGTGTGTGTAGTGGTGTTTGTGTATGTGTGTGTGTGTGTGTGTAGTGGTACAGAGTGAATTCCAAGACAGGTAAAAGTACACAGAGAACCCGTGTCTCAAAAACTGAAAAAATTAAAA